TGATTTTAATTCTTAGATCATTTAAATCGTCTATTAGTTGTCGATTATGAATTTTATATTTATTATAAGTTTTTTTACAATATGCAACAGATTCTTCAATAGTTGCAACACTATCAAAATTAATCTTGTTGTTTTGTAATAATTCTTTTACACTATCAATTTTAGCGACTTTAAGCTTTCTTCCATTTAGTAATTCCCCAGCATCTAAATAATGTTCAATACAAGTTGCATTTTTTAAATATAAAAATCCTTGAATATAACAGTTGCATTCCTGTTGTGGATTATCGTTTCTTTCATATTGATAGACAAAATGACGAAACGGATAATTTTCTTTATTAGAAAATTTTTTACGAATTAAATTATCAAATTGTTCTCAGTCAAAATAATAAGTATTAAAGTTATACATTCTTTGATGAAGTTTAATTGCAATTTTAGATTTAACTAATTTATTAGAACTACTTATTATGAATATCTGACTTGTTGATTTTTGTTGTACTGTACAGAAGAAAGTTTATATTTATACTTTTTTTAAAAATTTTAAAAAATCAGATTTTCAAAGAAATTTTGTAAAAATTACAAGCAGTACGGTTAAAAAATGACTGTACTGCTTAAAATTTTTCATCAAAAAGAAGTATTACCAACATCTCTTATTAATAAAAAAGTTACCAATTTTGCAGATTGTCTTTGTTTTACCACTTAAAATTTACAAAAATCTGGAAAAGTTAACAGTATATCTGTGCAGTATGGTAGTATTATATCTAAAAAAATTTTCCTGTTAATTATTTTGTATTAATAAAATTAACCAATAAAAATAAATGTGATTGGAAGCGTAATCAAATGTTATTCTCATACTGTCAATCACGATGCTTTATTTTCAGACAATGATTAAGAGCTATGCATCATAGCTCTTGTAATACTGCGTTGCAGTATTTGCCTGAAAATAAAGAAAAAATAATATATTAATAAAATATTTCTTTAAGTTTAAATTTTTAAACTCAAAGTAAAAATCAAAAATCGAAAAATAATCTTAATTTAGTATTTACATATTTAGCAATTCTTTATTTGGAATTTATATATTTAGTAATTCTTTATTTAGTATTTAAAAAAAATATGTAATCAAAAAAATGTATCTATTCCTAAATTGGAATTTACATTTTTGGAATTTCTATATTAAGATTTTAAAGTAATTGTTATTAATAAAATAAATAAAATCATACTATGAAACTATAAGTTTTTGATGAATTCTACATTTTTTATTATTAATACAAAATCGATTAACATAATAAAATTTTTCGCAAAATACGATTTTTATTATGACAGCGATTTTAAAAGAAATGATCTGCAAAGATATCGTTTCATCAAAAATTGAGCTAATTTCATGAATATCTATTCGTTTTACTTGAAATTTAATATGTGAATTCTTGAAAGTCATCTAAACTAACTTTATTATCATTGAACATAATGTTTTCTTTTAATGATGTGGTCAAATTAACGAAAATGTTCCTGTAAATATCAAAATAAAAAATTCGTCAGTAGTTTTTAAACGAAAAAATACTATAACTAAACGAATATTTGCTCAAAACCATGAAACTTTACATAATATAATTTTGATATCTGCTCTATAAACGTAATTAATGCGCAGTAATACATTTATAATCAAAATAATTAATCCACACAATGGTACCATGATCCTTTTTATCAAAAACGAATATTCATCTATGAAAACAAAACGTAAATCGTTAATATCTCAACGAATACTTGACCAAATATTCTGAAAATTCACATACTAATAGATGAATATTCCCTCTACAAAAGTCTATTAACCGTCAAGATACGCTAGATAATGAAAAAACATCTCCACGATCGTTCAAAGTTCGATTATCCAAAAATGAAAATTCGTAAATCTTTATTATTCACTAAAAACGTTATAATTCGTTGATTCTATTAGTTCAAAATATACTTTATATTTCTTGCTAGAATTGTAAAGGTGATTTCTTAACATACTTTTTGCGTAAATTTCTCTTGAAAATTAGGTATTTTCGTTTTCATATTAAAATTTTTATTCTAAAAAAACGTAAAAAATGAAAATATTTGTCAAACCGATCAAACCATATATTATTTTCAGAAATTCTTCGGATTGCCCACCTTTAAATCACTATTTAATTTACTAATTAAAAAATGCCCGACGGATACCACAAAATGCCTGCCGGGTACTCCAAAAAAATTTACTAATTATTTATTAGTTTCAGAAAACTCACTTTTTGCCCACCATCAATGATCGACAAAATTAACTAGTGTAAACCGCGGTTTATACTAATTAAAACTTGCTGGAAAATTTTTGGATTGCCCACCATTAGATTAAAGATTACCAGTGCTGCGGTAATCATTTGGGGTGTTGCACATCATATAATTTAATATCATAGTGCAGCGCTATATGTAATTTACACTATGTAAGATTTTTAAATTTTTGTTGATCATTTTTATCATCATAGTAATTCATTAGTATCTTTAAAACATTCTAACTCCCGCTCTAGTAAAGCAAATTCAATTCTGTAACTTGCAAATGATATTAGAATCGAGTAGTTTTAAAACTATATTGAGACATTTTTAAATTTATTTTGTTAATATAATTAAAAGATCAAATGTTTTTTTAGTTATGAATTTTAATAGTAAAATGAATATGATTTACAAGTTTATACTATAGAAGCCCGAAATATTTATATAGAATTCTTAAATGTCACAACATAGTTTTATAGCCACATTGCCTAGATATTATTTATAATTTACAGAATTGAATTTGCTTTACTAGTGCGAGAGTTAGAATGTTTTAAATGTGGATTTAAGTATGATATATATAATATCAATACAGTATTATTAATTTAAATTTACACTTAAAATATTCTAACTCTCGCACTAGTAAAGAAAATTCAATTCTGTAAATTGTAAATAATATATAGATAGCATGGCTATAAAACTATGTTGCGACATTTAAGAATTCTATGTAAATATTTCGGACTTCTATAGTATAAACTTATAAATCGTATTCATTTTACTATTAAAATTCGCAACTAAAAAAACATTTGATCTTTTAATTACATTAACAAAATAAATTTAAAAATGTCTCAACATAGTTTTAAAACTACTCGATTCTAATATCATTTGCAAGTTACAGAATTGAATTTGCTTTACTAGAGCAGGAGTTAGAATATTTTAAAGATACTAATGAATTACTATGATGATAAAAATGATCAACAAAAATTTAAAAATCTTATATAGTGTAAATTACATATAGCGCTGCACTATGATATTAAATCATATGATGTGCAATACCCCAGTAATCATTATACCATTATAATTATAACCAATTAAAGTAAACATTGTTCGGAAGCGTAATCGAATATTCATTCTCATACTGTCAAACAATGCAGGTGCTGCCCTATAGGTAACATTGGCAATATGCACCTATAGGAGCAATTATACAGTGTAGTTAATAATATCTACTATAGATTTTATTTTTATTATAAATTTAAAAAGTTATTAGAGCCTAAAGTTATTATACAGTATAATCAAAAATTTGGTATTTAATATCTAAAAAAATTGTTTTTATGGATTTTTAACCAATCAGAATCTTGTTATACAAAAATAACCAATTAGATTTAAGTATTGTTACAGGGTAAACTTATAATATTACACTAATAATCTTGTAGAACAATACTTTATAATTTATAGTTTATATTTTAGATATAATTCTATTAAATTATATTAGAATTTATATTGTATTTAGAATAGTTAGAATAATAGAGTATATGCTACTGTGTGCTGTATGTCACTATGTGCTGTATGCTACTGTGTGCTGTATACTACTATGTGCTGTATGCCACTGTGTGCTATATGCCAGTGTATGCCACCTGTCACATGGTTGTATGCCAGCGTATACTACTTGCCATATGGTTGTATGCCAGTGTATACCACTACACAATTATATTAGTGTATTCTACATTGTTGTATATTAATGTATACCAGTATAACACACATGATTGTATGCCAGTATATACCAGTGTATCCCACATAGTAGTATGCCAACCCAACAGATATTTAAAGGAAGGCTTTTCTCTTTTATCTCAAGGAGGCATTAGACAAGTAGATGATGAATATTAGATATTAGGCAATAATATAAATACTGATATATTAAATAGAAACAGATAAATAATACCCTTTGGAATATTGTTCCTTAAATATTCTTGTAATATTCTCTTCATTCTAATGACCTTGTAATGTCTTTATTGTCTCTAAAACAAGTAAATAAAACTTTTTGCTAAAACTCTCTCTTTGACCCTTCTTTACAAGTATCACTATAACATTTTGGTGCCTCCTGGCAGAAACAAATTAAAAGCCCTGGTGAAAACTATTTTATTGTAAATTCATTAAAGTAGTTATTTTTATTCGTACTTCATCTCTTTCCCTTTTCCTGTCTTTGTTCTTTCTTAGTTCCTTTACTTTTCTTTAAAATTCTACTTTTTCATTAGTTAGCTTTAGTTTTTTTTTAATAATTCTACAAATATTGACCCTATTTTAAAAATCTCACCTCCTTTACATTCTTGAGAACATCTTTTAGTATATAGGTTGCTTAATACCAAAATGCTTACTTGTTGCTTTAAAAATTGTCAAAGTTTTTACTCCCTTTTCTGTACTATAAATTTCTTCTTTACAAATATCATTTCACAAACTTTGACCTTTAATATCTCGCTACCCACTTGACTGTTTTGAGCATTCTCACTTTTTTTAGATTCACAAAGAGTCCCTCTACATTTTCTTTCTAAGTTACAAACCTTATTAGCATAATTCAAATACCTTGAATTTTTGATTTTTCTAAATTGTTTCAAAATTTTACTCCTCTTCGTTTTTCTTTCTCCAAGTTTGTTTTATTTTTCACTTTGAGACCTTATATCTAACTTGGAATTATTATTTTCTTTTCTACCATAGTATTCTTCTTTGAAAATGAAATACCAGAAGGTCATTACTTTTGGAAAAAGAGACAATACAAAAAGCTCTTGAAACAAAAACAAAAGAGCAATTACAAAAGAAACAACAACAGAAGGAACAATAACTTTGTCAACAGCTATATGGAATAGTGAAAGATATTGTAAAAATTGTTACAAGTATCTTGGCTAGTGTTGACTACTATTTCTCTCTTGTAATGGAAAAGCTTTTGGTTGAAATTTATAAACTTGTTACTTGTCTTTTTATTTAAACAAGTTGTTTCTTTTATATCTTCTTGAATTTTACTATACTATTTAGACTCTTCTTTTTGGATAACTGGTTTTGGAATTATTTTAACTAAGTTAAAATAATAATGAACATTGTATTTTTCTTTTGTCATTAAATTGTAAGCTAGCTCTTGTTGAGTGAAGCTATATGTTTACAGGATATAATATTTTCTGTAGTTATGTAAACTTCTAGTTTAGAAACAGTAGATTAGTATATCTCCCCTCTAGGGTAATTCCTACAGGCAAGATTTATACAGTATTATTATAATCCAACTCTTGTTGAGTTGAGGCAGTAGGTACTGCTTGTGTAATTTCTGGGTATAATATTCCTAGCTGTGTACAATTTCTGTATGTGATATTCTTTGGTACAATTCTATATGTGATATTCTTTGGTACAATTCTGTACGTAGTATTCTTTGGTACAATTCTGTACGTAGTATTCTTTGGTACAATTTCTGTACATGATATTTTTGGTACAACTTCTGTATATGATATTCTTTAGTACAATTTCTGTACGTGATATTCTTGGCTATGTATATTCTGGATGGAATTTTAATATAAATATTGCTAACAAAAGGAACAGTTAGTTAAATTCCAGTATATTGTTCTGGAAAAAGATTAAAAGTATAATATTGTTTTTGGATCCAACTTATTTATTGAATTTTATTTATTGGATTATATATGTATTGAATTATATTTTATTAGCTTTTATATTTTATTTTATTAATATAGTTATTTCTCTTTCTTGTAAATAATATAAAGTGATAGCTGTATTCGTGAATAGTATACTAGCACATACTAGCTTTATATTATTGGAATTTAAAAGCTATATATAACTAAGGATAGTCTGATCATTAGTATTCTTTTCTCTGGATTTATCTAAGGATATTTCTAAGTCTGAGTGGCTAATAATCCTTGTACAGAGCAAACAATTTTTGTTATACCTGGCTTACACAGAAAGGACAATAGGTGACAACCCCAATAATTGGCCTATTCAACCCTTATAGTGTCTAGGAGGTTATTGAATTTAAATTCTATTAAATACTTGTTTATTTATTTTAATTTATTAGTATATTATATATTTTATTAGACTTTTATTAGGTCTAGTAATGAAGCTTAAAATTATAGTACTATTATTATTTTTTTTTTTTGGTGTTAAGGTGGCCTCTTGGCCGGCTCCTTTTATTCGGTTATAGTTAACTTTT